TATCCCAGCTGGACCCAGGACAGGTATATACATGAAGTCAATGATGCTTGCTTCCCCAACCCTTTGATTTTTTAAAGGGAAAACAAAAATGCCTCTATGCTAAGAAAGAGACAAGGAATACAGTGCACAATAGCTCTAAGGATCAAAAAGAACAGCAAAATACAAACACAGCTTCCAATGAACCTGTGAGTACATAAATCCGTATACTCCCTAGTATACAAAGGGTAGCATAATCATCAGGCATAAGACTATAGATACATTCAGTAATACTTTATGTGTCCATGTAAAAGGTAACATTTTACAACACTAAAGATTTCTTCTAACAAAAGCCATGCAGATGCATCTGAGACACTACTAGAACACTAACCTTTCGAATTACTTGCTGGGATAAGTAAAACTGATGGAGGGGATGCCCCAACTCTGTTATGGGCAATCACAGTCACTTCATAAGTTCCATTTGGTAGCTTTAATGTAAGGTTGGTGGTATTAACATTGTATTTCTCTGGTGGACTGGAGAGAGATGACTTAGCTCTGACAGTCACTTCATACCGCAAGATTACTCCATTGGCTTCAAATGGCTGCAATGCCTGTTAGAAACACATCTTTGATTATACTGACAAATGTGGCTTAACCTTTAATTGCCTTTGATGCATAATTTAAAAATCTGAAAGCAAGACCAGTTACATAGATCAAAGCTGCATATATAAGAAAAGCGCAAATAACCTGCATTCATTTCTGTAAACCAGTAAATTCCAGAACTATTTCAGGTTTAAATTATCTTTTTCTTGGCTTACAATCCTACCTAGTATTTTAATAAAAGGTATTTTGTAGAAATTGCAAAATATATCTTGATAAAACCTGCATTATATGTGACTTTACAACACAACATAAAAGGAATCTCACTTAAGCTCTGTTGAGCCCGAATGCAAAACAGACAGTAGTTTTTTTATTACACACAGAAAAATACTTTTTTCTGTGTTACCTAATAACAGAAAAATATTATGTTTCTGTATAACAATATTAGTTTTCAGATAACTTAAGAGAAAATTGTTGAAACTGTAAAGTAGCAGCAGTTTTACAATGCTAAGCTAAATAATATCAGAAGTGGCATATAGCATAAGAGTTACATCAGAAAATGAAGCATATCCATATACATGTAACTTCATACAGGCCACCTAGTAATAGGGAAAAAGTAATAATAAATAGAAGCTAGATCAAAAGCTAGTGACACTTGGTTCACAGACAAAAAGAGCACAACATGGAGACTGACCTTAATTGCATTCACTTTCCCAGCTTTGGACTAATCAGCCAACTACACACAGCAGCCCACTGCATGCAAATGTGCAGTGCTATATTTAGTAAGTTTGGTCTCTGGAATGTCTCTAGGCTTAATGGAATTTGCAGCTGGAGTACCCCTGTCCAGACAGTGTTACAAAAGTTTTAGGATACAGCAGAGGGCATAATGTGAAGGCTTACTTTAAATGGAAATTTCCTATTCCAGACTGCTTCAGGACAGCAAGTCAGGAATCTGAAAGTGGATTCTGTATACTTTGGATCACAGATGCATATCAGTTAGCTGATGGCCTTTACATTTGTACTTTTAATTTTTCATAACTAATGGTTATAATAAGAATAACAAAGTCACTTCTCATATCAATAAGACCTGCCTTATCAAGTTTTTTGAGGTAAATTTTGCCACTTAAAACCTCATGTTTATAAAAGAATGCTCAATTCCTGCGGTTTATCATGTTGATTTACCTTCCACATCAGATGCACAGTCCAGGAAGCTGGTGAGTGTGATGCATCAATGATCCTCCATATGGGCGGTCCTTTAGATGGTTCTGATGAAAGAAACAATGCTTAATAGTAGAAATATTTTTATTTAATCTGTTTGTATTCATCCTTTGACTATTATTAGATGCTTACCCCTTTTTTAAAATAAAAGCATATATATAAGTGTTTCCTTAGTTTCTCAAAGAAAATAACGTTTGGTATATTAAGTGGAACACCTGCAGGGAAAGCTTTCCTGGAGAGATGAGCAAAACACTGCAATTTTGCAGACTATCAAAGCAGAAATTAAATGGAAACAGGACCAAGCTAAAGTAGTTTCACTCCTCACAGCCCTGGAATTGGAAGAGTTCCTAAATGGTAATAACCAAGTTCCTGGAAAAACAAGACAAAATCCCCACACAATTTCATTATCTTTAAAGTCAGAAGTCAGCAAGTGATTTCCAATTCTGCTGCTACTGATGATTTAGGAGGAAACCAAACAAGCTTTTAAAATAAAATTCCCTTGAGGATGATTTACCAATTTGAGAATCCCTAGAAACCATAGAGCATATAATTCAAATATACATAGCTATGCAGCAAACCTGCTCTGCCTGATATGACTCTTGGCTACAGTCACTATTTGGAGCTACAAAGCAGTTGTTTCCTAATCAGGATTAGGTAGTAAAACAACTGCCAGAAGATTTCAAAATTGCCAGAATGCTTGCATTAATCTTCACCATCATGATTTTACACTTGGGCCTTTGCATTTAAGGATTCAATTGAAATGGATAGTTACAGTATGTAACACTTGGAAACATAACACTTGGATAAAACCATATAAGCACACCTTCCTGCATATAGCCGTGGTAAATACACCTATATCTTAGTAGCTTGCTACCGAGACAGACACCAAATCTTTTGAATGCAGAAGGCAACCAGATGTGGGATCTTCTGGGATATAGATCTCACAGTCTTAGACAAAGCACAACATCTAAGAGACAGTGTTATAATTTGATTTGAGGTGGTAATAAAGGTATAAGTGTCCAACGTCTTATTTCATTTAATCTTCACAATAGGCAACAGCACAGTAAAAAAGTAATCAATGAATAAAGTTCTGGTACAGGTTTTGCTAAAATTGCAACCTGAAGTCCCTCGTCTGAGCCTGATGCCCAGTACAAAAAGGATCAGGGAACAACAGACCTTGTGAGCTCCTTTCCAACTTAATTTATCCCACTATTCTACACATTTGCAAGCGTATCTAGGCATTGCGAGGGGTGACCACACCTCTGAAGTTGTCTGTAAGCAAACTCAGAACAGTAAATTATTTTATTGTCAACTTATTGCTACAATAGCAAAAAATAGTAACTGCAACCTTAGTAAGCAATGCAGAAAGAGTGGGACTATCCTGTTATCATTAGGAAGGGTGGCTACAATTTATTAAAATGCTGTTCTACTAGCAGAAAACAGACTATTTCCATTTGCAAGTGTATCACAACTAATGGCAAATGTATATCTTAACAGCTGAAATGAGTTCATTTGTGACCGCCACACAGTGATGGGTCACCACAGTGACCACCGTACAGTGATGAGCAGCAAGACTCTTACTGTGCATAGAATATTGTTAACAAGTGGGTACAAAACAGCACAGAGGCAGCTGTAAGTGACTCTGACAAGGAAGAAAGTGTTGTAAATGCAAAATACCTTGGGTAAAGTTAAGGGTAAACCAGAATGTTTTATTTAGATGCTTTGGTACATATGAGGTTACACTTCCCATATGCACTTTCTTTCCTATCATTGCTTTACTAAGTTTGTGAAGAAGTCTATTAACCTATATGACTTAAGATCTATTTCATACTTACTGATGCTTGTTCCCCTATGACTTTATCTAATGGCCTCCTAAACACTGAGTTTAGCATTGAGTGCTAAGGCAAAAAACTAAATAAACTAAGGCAGCATGTACCAAAAAACCTTTTGCACAGGCAGAATAGCTTTTGTTACAGAGGATAACCTTCAGAACAAAAAAAAAAACCCCACCCCAAGCATAAAGCTTACATCTCTTCTAAAAGACTTTGAAAAGATAAATTTCTGTGAAGAAAGCTTTTCTTCCCTACCTCCTGTTTCAACTGTTTTCAGGGAGCACCTCTAGAGTAGGTTTATAGGAAGCCATTCTTATGCTCCTGGGAATGCATGGGTCAAGTCAGTCAGTACTGAAAACAACTCAGGAGAGCCTGGTTGCATTTATAATCAAACAGCTCAAGTGAGGATATGCAATTTCAGCTGGCTATTGTCAAACTGCTGAGCACTCACACATTTTGGAAGTCAGTGACCCATTTTCATATATTACTTACTATCTTCAGTGGTGACCCCAGTTTTCTCTTCACTCCAGTCACTCCAGTAGCCCACTCCATCTTCCTTCATGCAGCGAATTGAAAAGACATACTCTGTGTAGGGTCTGAGCCCTTGAACACTGAATGAAGTTCTTGGTGAAGCTGTATCTTCAGGAGGAACCTGAAAGTGGAAGGAAGACTTTAGAGGCACCTATCAGAAATTGTACACCTGAGTTCTGTGCTACTACAGCTCCTGTCCAAGAGGGCTCCCCACCACATACACACCCAATTCCAAGAACATAGTTTTTTCTCCCATTTTACTTCCAAAAGGTTCAATTTTCAATCATGATTTGGTAAGGGATCAGTCATAGTTGTGTGTATTTACCAGGTATACCACCATATGTGCACTAGAATGGGTAAGCAACTATTTCAGGACAATACCTCATATTCTGTTTTCCTTCATTAATGAAGAGGTTTATGTCTACTTCCCTTCCTTCCCATATAATTCCTTACTTACTGATCTCTAATATCTCATCTCATGTTTCAGAACTTTCTTAGGTGATCTGCTTGACTATTGATTGCAGAATACCTGTGCTTGAAGTCTTTTACACAGCTAGAGAATCTAGGACCACTGCTTCCACTGATATAGAACCATGTTTCTTTTAAATGACATTGGAAACAGTTTGTCTTAGAGTAGTTTATACGTCTGCTAGCAAATGAGTTTATTTCCGTAAGCTCTTTCCTTTTTATTTTAGATTAGCAACTGAATGCCAGAAAATACTCTCACTGCGTATGTACCGAAAAAGATGTAGACAATAGATGTATGTGTGTACACACACTCCATCACATTAGTCCACTTGCAATTAAGGGGTTTTTATGAGCAACCCTGCAAGAGGAATGACTACAGATGAAACACACATGCAGAACACTAAAGAGGTTAATCCTGAGTGCAAAGAACTGTCGAAGTATTAATAGGTTGGTCTTCCGGCTGAAGAAAGTAGTCAATTTTTACCACAGCTAAGCAAGCCAGTTGCACTAGAAGTTACTATTTCAATGGTCTTGTGCACATCTTAAAACGGCAAGACAAGTTAAAAAAAAGACTTCATAGGACAGTATTTCAATAGATCCTGGAGTTGCAAAATAAGTTGTGTGGGACAGTGCTCTATAAAGTATCAATACAGGTGACTAATTAATCTCTGCATCTAAAGCTCAAAAAGTTCCTCCAGAGGAATACACTTCACTAATCACAAGCAGCTTTGTCATGCTACCTGCTTCAAACACCATATTCTGTCAAGTTAGCAGCAGTCTTACTTGCAGCAAGTCATGAAATCCAGAACAGTTTTGAGTCTATGTACTGTAACAAAAGTGGGGAAGATCTTGATTAAGAGAGTGTTTCTGGAATACTGCTGCTCTGAAAGAAGGTTTAAAGATTAAGACAAAACTGAGAAACTACTGAAAATGTCCATAGACCAATTTAGAAGAAAAAAACCTCAACTCTTTATGACATGAACATATTATAGTGCACTCCAAGTAAGGCATATTCCTTATTCTTTTCCAGTTCCTTGACTGTGTCACACTTAAGGCATGTAAGCAGGGAAAAAACACACTGTATCAGTACAGCAAGTCCAAAAAAGCATCTCAGTGCTGTACAGTGTTTGCCCAAGCTTTAAATGACATTGAGATTTAGTAAAACTGACATTTAGTAGTTTTGCACATGCATCGAAGATGAAACTTTAGGAATGTTCCATATGTTGCACGTACAGAATAGAAATTTAAAATAAGCATACAGCAATATGATGGGGAAGACAGCAAAGAAGCCCACAAAGAAAAGACAAGGTCATTGTACTCTAGATTGCGCCAAAACCACCTAGATCACAACCTTCATGTACAGGCCAGATAAACTACCTTGGGAGGTTACACAAGTCCTAAGGATAATAAATTGAATCCTCTGAACTGCAGCAGTGAGGGAATTTCTCTTGCAGTTTGACAAATGACCAGGTTACAGCAGAAGACTGATGAGGCACATTACTGGTATTACCTGCATCCAGCTTGTGTCACTAATGATCCTATAGCGAATATTGAATTTGAGCTTCATCACAGCAGCTGAAATCCGATTCTCCCAGGAAAGCTTCAGAACAGTAGGTAGTATTCCAGAGTTGACTGATAAATTGTGTGGAGACAGAGGCTTAACTAGAAGAGAAGGAGTTAGTGTCAAATCCACAGCTGTATTTTATCAGGCCTCTAGCAGCTGGAATGCTATGCTGCAACACTACCATTAAAGCTTTTCACAAGCTGAGATGGCTGCTACCTCACACTAAAGCAGACTACCTAACAGGAACTTGGTCTCTGAATTGTGATCAAATCTCTCACCTTCTCTACCTTTGTCCAGCAGAGTTCAAGTTCTAGTCAATAATATTTTGTCAGTGTTAATTTTCATAGTGAAGAAACACTAATATACCAATTAAGCAACATGCACAGAAGCAACAGTTATGAACTACTAAAGCTTTATTAAGAGGCATATAGTTACCGATCTCAATGGGATCAAGAACAAGAGGATCAGATTCAGCCTTCCCAAGAGCATTTGCTGCTTCTACCCAGACCTCCAGGTTAACAAAGAACTGAACATCAGTAATGGTACAAGAATTATTTACATCTTTTGGTATGCAGTCAGGAAAGTTCTCTTGCGGCCTAAAGAAAAGAGAAGGAAAAACAAGGTATAAAGCAGTAAGTTTGGTTTCCTTTAGAGAATATTTTTAAGTAAATCAGAGTGATCAATCAGTTTTGCTCGTACGTTTTCCATCTACCATTATGTTTGTAAGCAGTGGGGTGGGAAGAAAAGATGAAGAGATTGGAATGGCTTGTTCAGCCACAAATACACAGTTGCATTAGAATAGAAACTAGAATAAAATCTCTTGGCTTCAAGCAATACATCTTCAAATGCACAAGCCACTGTATTGTAACTATGAAGTTTCATAAAAACCTGACTTAGCTTAAAAAATAAAGATCAAGAATTGATATATTTAATTGAAAGCAATATGGCTAGTAACTAGAAGCATATTCACAGAATCATAAAATCATAGAATGTTCTGGGTTGGAAAGGACCTTAAAGATCATCTAGTTCCAACTGCCCTGCCATGGGCAGGGACACCCTCCACTAGACCAGGTTGCTCAAAGCCTCATCCAGCCTGGCCTTGAACACCTCCAGGGACTTCCCTGGGCAACCTGTTCCAGTGTCTCATGACCCTCACAGTGAAAAACTTCTTCCTAATTTATGTTAATATATATTAATTTATATTAATATCAATATTAATGCATTAAAAGGTGTAGGTAGTATTACCTGCCTACCCTTGAAGAACAGTGTTACAGCTGCAACACATCTCCATTCACCATCTTCAGCTGCAGTAACAGCAGATAGTTCTAGGGTCATCAGGAGATTTGCAAAGCATTAGGGTTCTCTATCTATCCGTACTTTCTACTACACTTGTTACCAAAACACTTTAGAGGAATGGGGTAGATGGAAAGCTGTAGGCAGGTGTTCCTGTTTCCAGAGGAGAACAACAATTCTGTCTACTCCATTTTAAACTACAAGACACCATTTGAAGAGTTTGAAAAATAGTTCAGTTAATCTGCTTTCACAAGAGAAATACTTTTGCTGAAGCTTTCATGTTAGGATTAATTGCAGACAAATACCATTCTGAGTTATTGGGAAGTGCAGAGAGTAGATAATACCTCTACAAAATCCAGTCACTGTATATTGATTTCTTTACTTAGGATCACAGAATGGCTTGGGTGGGAAGGGACCTTTAAATGTCATCTAGTCTGACCCTCGTGCAATGAGCAGGGACATTTTCTACTTGTTTAAAATGGGACAGAACACACACCACAGAAAAAGGTAAAATATATGATCTAGGTCCAGCCACCTAATGATTACGTGTATTGTACTCAAGTCACACTAATAATGCATTGGAAGAATGGAAAAATATGAGATAGCTGTCACTCCAAATCAAGTGCAGCAACAAAATTCCAAGTCTGACATGACTACTTCAAATGTGAACTA